GTAGGGAACTCTCTGAACCTGCATGGCTGTCTAATTCCAAGGAAGACACTCAGTCAGGATATCCCCACTCCCCTAGGACCCAAATTGCTACAGAATGGTGCCATTCTGAGAAAAGAGCCACTGCTAGGGTGAAGGCTGCCCTGAGGACCAAAGGCCCCCACGTCTCCACATCCCTGACAACCCACCAACATCTCACTATGCCCACATCAGCAGCTACAGCTTCCCCCCAGCTAGACAGAGCAGTAGGGCTCCGACCCTGGCCCCTGAGCCCACACAGCACCAGACTTTCCAGGACATAGTTAGACCAGCACAGCGGGAAGACAGCACCTAGGGATGGCTGAACTGACACAGACATTCCTTAGGAACTGCTAAGATCCCCACTGGCCAGCCACCATCTCCCCATGGAGCACTGTTGGTACTGCCAATTGGCACTCCTGGCCCCACTGTTGTGGGTGACTGTTCCCCCTTCACTACTGGTACCTTTATGGCACCCTTCACTGCTAGCTGGCACCCCCAGTTCCTACTACCACTAGTGGCCAACCAGCACACTCACTGATTCCTAAATCTTCCCCACTACCACAGACACCGGCAGTCTGGAACACTGAGACACTCACATGTACCACTGACATGGATAATAGCCAGAGAAATCTCTCAGGGACTACATTACTGCAGTCACTCAGAACCCAGACGGAAACACCCTCCCTAACTGACTCTGTAGAACACATCCTCAGAAGTCTTCCCCTAAGGACAACACTCCAGGTTATTGTACTACCAGATATGTGCATATCAACGCAGAGACGCAAGGAGCATGAGAAGGCAGAAGGCAAGGCAACCTGACACCTCTAAGGGAATGCAATAATTTCCATGAATGGGCCCCAAAGGAAATGTGTGAAATGCCTGAAAAGGAATTCAAACTAATAATCCTAAGAAAACCCAGTAGCATATAAGAAAATGTAGATAGACAACTCACTGAAATTTTTAAGAGTTCAAGACCAGAAATTAAACAGAGATAAGCATTATTAAAAAAAAAAAAAAAGAAAGATTCTCAACTGAAGAACTCAACAAATTAAAATTTAAAATACATTAGCATTTCAGCAATAGACTAGATCAACCAGAAGAAAGAATCTCAGACCTCTAAGGTAAGTCTTTTGAGATAACGTTGTCTGGAAAAAAAAAAAAGAAAGAAAGAAAAGGAAAAATGAAGATTGTTTATGGGACAATAGGAATAAACATTTGTATTATGGACATTCCAGATGAAGAGGCAAAGATAGGGACATAAAACATATTTAGTAAAATGGTTGCTAAAATTTCCCCAAGTATTGCAAGAAATATGAACATCTAGATATGAGAGGCTCATAGGTCTCCAAACAGCTCAAATCCAAAGAGGACTTTGCCAAGGTATGTTACCTATAAATTGTCAAAAGTCAGAGATAAAGAGAATTTCAAAAGCAGCAAGAGAAAATTGCTAAATCACATACAAGAAAAATCCTATTAGACTAACAGCAGATTTCTCAGTAGAAACTATGCAGGCCAGGAGAGAATGAGATGATACATTCAAAATTCTAAAAGAAAAATAAAAAATGGCAACCAAGATTACTATACTCAGCGAACCTAACATTCAGAATTCAAGGGAAAATAAAGTCATTCTCATACAAGTAAAACTTGAGGGAATTCACGAACACTAGACCAGTTTTAAAAGAAATGCTTAAGGGAGTTCTACATCTAGAACCACAGGGCAATTACTACCAACACAAAAACACACAATTCTATGGTAGCCAGATACAGAAATGAGAAACAGAAAGAACCCAAACCTTATCACTACAAAAAAAAAAAAAAAAAAAAAAAAAAAAAACCAACCCCCAAAAAAAAAAAAAAAGACCATACCACAAAGATAATAAAAGAGTAAGGGAAAAAGTGAAGAATCCACAAACAACCAGAAAATGCCTAAAAAAATAATAAGAGTAAATCATCCCTGATCTATAATAACCCTGAATGTAATAAATTCCCTATTTAAAAATACAGGCTGTCTGAATGTACGGGAGGAAAAGGTAAGCAAAGTGTCCCTTGTCCTCCCCATTCCCACCTTGGACACCTGCGGTCCTGGCTGCAGGAGAGCCACATAGTCATCAGAAATCTCAAACTCAGTGTAGTGAGTTTCCTGAAGTCTGTGTAGGGGGTACCAACCCAGAAAGGGG